GAAAGTACCACTCTCGGATGGAGATGATGACGATTTAAGAGAGTAGCAATGAAGTTTTTTTTTAAACTCAAGGGGCCAGTAGGCAAATAACTTCAAAAGAAGAATCCACAGGGCTTCATGTTAATACGTTTTGGAAGTTCAACTGCTTTTTATTACGTTAGGAAATAAAATCCTATCAATAATTTAACAGTATAAAAAACAGAAGGGACGGGGAGCCCGGTGCCAGAGAAGAACCCACAGCCTGATCACTTTGTAGCCGGCGTTCCCAGCGGTGTCTTCTGCCTGAGACTCCTTGCACCTCTTCAGCTTCTCTGACTAGGAAGAAGTGAATGCTTTTCGAAAAGCAACCGACTGCATTTGGAGCAGGAAACCTTAGGCTTCCTCCTAAGCAAGGACCAACCTGACTTAAGCTGTCCCGAGATGACCAAGCAGCTTGATTATGACCTGGAGACCTTTGGGAACAAAGCGGAATCCACCCTCACCAACTTTACCGAGTACCCCTCAGTCCTGCAAGGTTTTACGAAGGCCCTGCTCCTGGCCATGCAGGTGGAAGAACAGGCCAGCAAATAAATCAGCAGCAAGAAATATCCCCAATGATGACTGCAAATAAATTTTAAAATAATGCAAGTTTCCCACAAACTTTTTGAAGCCCCTTTGTATATCTATCACACAACTCTTTTGCCTGTTCCATTACTTACAGGTTTAAGCCTTATTGTTAGCAATTATAAGAATCTGTTTGTAAATGTGCCATTCCATGATCCATGTAGTTTTTCCATCACCACTATTCTCCAGCCCCACTTTCTGTACACTGATAGTAACCACTAATACACTTTGAGATCTATAAAAAAAAAGAACAGAAGGGCTGTTTTTTAAGCTCTTAAGAGTTAACTTTAAGGCTGTTGGGTTTTTCCCTATAATTGACCTTGTAATACACACTCAGACCTTCCCTTCCTTAACAGTAGAGTATTTTTCCTCTGTACTCTACACATACCATTACCAGCCTTTTGTACCAGGCAGTCAACCTTGGCTGTACCTAACAGCCCACACACTGGCCTGCTATCTCTTGGGCGAATGAGCTCAGCAATTCCAAACCCACATCTGTAGCTGAGTAATGTAGAAAACAGACATCCTCTCATATGTACAATGAGTACATCTTCTTGCAGGCCAGTATAGTGTGTGATATGTCCCTGAGCCTATATTCAGAGGGCAAACTTGGATGAACCAGTCACACCTTGGAGAGGTTTGAGGAATACACAGTATTCTCTTAGCTCGGGAGAAGTAATGTCATCCTTCCCATTTCCTAATTCCTATTCCTCACCAAACAACCCCAAGGGAAGAATTTCAACTTGTACTGCTTGGAGTCACAGGATATGGTAGGTAACAGAGTACCAGGGGAAAGAGACAGGAAGAGTTCCAGATAGAAAGCAGATGCCATTCACTCAAATCAATTGAGTAAGGCTTGATTAAGCATAAAATACGTGATCTGATAGCTGGTTGCCTGTCTGACCTTTACTTCTTACTGCGGTCTAGCTCTAGTGGCCTTGCTATTCTCTGACACATCAAGGTCTTTGTTCTTGCTATTCCATCTGCCTAGAATAGCTTTTCACATAGCTCCTTCCCTCACTTCATTCATGTGCCTCCAAAAACGTCACCTCCACAGAGAACTTCCTTGACCAACGTCTCTAAAATAGCATACCTCCCGAGGCCCTCACTTTCTATCTCCTTACACTGCTTTATTTCCCTTTACAGGACACATTCCTCAGCAATATGTGTACACTGTTGTGAGGTGCGTCGAGTCGGTTCAGACTCAGCAAGCCCATGTAACAGAGTCAAACTGCCCTGTAGAAGCTTCTAGGCCATAATTTTTATGAAAGTAGATCACCGAGTCTTTCTACCAAGGAGCCACTCAGTGGCTTCAAACCACTGACCTTTTCAGTTAGCAGCCAAGCATTCAACTATATTGTTCTATGAGGCTCTGTACACCCACCTTTACCAGGGCAGAGCCTTTATCTGTTTTCCTCATCCCTCTAACACCAGCACTAGAATAATGTTTGGCACATAGCCAGTGCTCAAAAAATATTTGTCAAAAAGGTAAGAGTCTAGCATATGCTCAAAACTGAGATAAGGATTAGGCATATCAAGATGAATAAGTTATGTCCTCTACCTCAAAGGAGCTAAAAATGTAACAAAAGGCAGACAGACAGACAGCACACCAGCAGCGAGACTAGTAGAAATTCTTTGAGTTTCTTCTAGAGAGAGAAAAATAAATATACTTAAGTGCTCACTGCTCAGAACCAAACCGTAATCTAAACATCACCAAAAGACTAGGAGCCCTAGTAGAGAAGCAGATTAAGTGTCAGGCTGCTAACTGAAAGGTCAGTGGCTCTAACTCATTAGCCACTCTGTAGGGACACCTACGTGGCAGTCTGCTTTAACCTTAGGGACGCTATAGAACAGGTGTACCATGTCCTATAGGGTGTCTATGAGTCAGAATTGATGGCAATGGCTGGTCATAAGAGGCAAACTTGGTTTCAAATTCAGGTACTGCCATTTATTAGCTAAGCAATTATTTAACCTCTCTTACACTTTACCCTAATCCTTAAGATGGAAATTCTACTGGTACCTATTTCACAGGGATGCTATAACATTATGGAAGAGAATACAAAATCACCGCCGTCGAGTCAATTCTGACTCACAGCCACTCTTTTAGCACTGCCCCTGTGAGTTTCTGAGACTGTAACTCTTTACCAGAGTAGAAAGCCTTGTGTTGCTCCCACAGAGATGCTAGTGGCTTGGAACCGCATACCTTGCGGTAAAGCAGCCCATAACCATTACACCACCCGGGCATATCGTAAGAAAATTAAGTAAGTGAATATAAGCCTGGCATACAGTATGCACTTAATAACTGACAGCTGATAATATTATTATTGGTTGACTCCAATGACCCCCTGGAGTCCGATGCCCAATCAAAACTATTGCTGATCCTAACTCTTGGTGACCTCAAGTATGCAGCATAGAACTGCTCCATACAGTTGCAAGGCTTTGAGTTTTCGGAAGCAGATGACCAGGTCTGACTTTTGATGTGCCTCCAGAGAGGGTTCAACAGCTAGTGGTAGAGAACATATCCCTTTGCGTCACTTGTGGACTACTAAATCTTACCAAGTCCATCTCCAAGGAAGCTTCTCCTGTCATTCCCTGACTTTTCATCCTCACAGTCCCTCGGTCCAGTCTCTCTTCCAGTTCAATCTGCATATGACTAAGGCATTAAATCCCCCAGCATGGAAAACCCTGCATGTTTGGACCCCAACTTCCTTCCCAACCCTAACGCTCCTTGGCCTTTTGGCTAAGAATAAGTGTAGTATCCCAACCCCAATGTCCTTTGTTTTCTGAGCCCATCCTCAATTTGACAAAATGAATGACCGGACAATTCTTTATACACACTTTTCATGACCATGGCAATATTTGTCTTATTCCCTCTTCCTTGAATACTCGTCCCCTTTTTACTTTCAAACTCCAAATCCTTTCCACCATCTATCTTTCCAGAGCTAGCTAGTTCTCCCAGCTGACAACCAGTCGCTTTCTTGAAGACCCAGCTGTTATTTGTAACTCTTCTATAGCACCCATCCCTTTCAGCTTGACATTTTGGTTATTATGTCGCTCACAGACTACCTGGGGAAAGAATTTTGTACCAGTCCCTCTACTTTCTACATAGTGTGATACTCAAATGCATGTTAAGTGGCTATTTCACGAGCAAGCAGACATTTAAATTATAGTTAGCCTCAACAACAAGCTTATTGCCTTGACCCAAATTTTCTGATCTAAATTTTCTCACAAGAGAAAACTGGGGCTCTCTAACCAGTGGTCCTATTATTGCTATTTTTTAATTTCTGGGTTTAATAAGACATATCTTCTTTCACTTCCAAATCATCCAGGCTCAATCCTTTCCCATCAGAAATGTTTCACATTACACATTTAATTCAAAAGCAAAGTGATGGATTATTCTTTAAAATAAGAACATACTGATAATTGTCCTTCAGGACCAAGTAGCTATTGCTATTAACAAAGTACAGAGTTCCACCTATTAACAGAGTACAGTCAAGTTCAAAAACTCAGTAATAAACAACAGTGATAGAGATCACTGGTTGTTCCAAGTAAAATTGTTGCTGCTGCCGCTCCGTTTACAAGGCTCTGAGCTGATTTTCAGGCAAAAGCTATTGGCTCTATTGGACTCATTCAGCTACAGCATCACTCAGACCTTAATGGTGAAGAGGAAGCTTGGGGGCAAACAATGACATTCTGAATTCCACCACTAACTCTACTGGGTCTTACTTGAGTGATTGTAGCTACGTCTCTGAGCTTCACGGCATCAGGCTTGTCCAAAACGCACTGCCATCTCGGCAACCCCGTCTCAGAGCCTTGTACAAAAGGGCAGCTGAACACTAAGAACAGAAGCCTTGTATGACTGAAACCCCAAAACATATGCAAAACCTTTGCTACAGAAAAACAAAATAATGCGCACGGAAATGTTTTCCGTGGACGCTGCGCATTAGAACGGAAATTTCTAATTTCCTCAGATACTAGCCAAGATAGCTGATTATCCCCAAATTCACGACAGGAAGCACTGCGTATGAAGTCACCCGCGTTCGTGCACTCTCCTCTTCCCTTTCGTTTAAATTCCGAAGAGAAGGGGGAAAGCAAGTGACAGAAAAAACTTGGTTGAACACACACACACACACACACACACCCCACCCCACCCCCACGGGCTGTCGGGTCCGCAGCTTCGGCCCCAACACCGTGGAGGCAGAAGTCCTGAGAAGAAACTCGGGCTTCGGCTGGACCTCGGGCCCTCGGAGCCCGGCCTGAAGGATTCGGGGGTGACAGCCACGCCGCCCGGCGGGCGGGGAGGGCCCCTCACAGCCTGAGGGGCGGAGTCGCTCCTTCCCCGCCCGGGGTCCGCGCCCCCGGCCGGCCCGCGCCCCCCAGCCCGGTGCCCGCCTCACTGGCTTGGCTGATGCGCTGGATGTTGCCGCTGCATGTCTGGATGATGCTGTTGAAGTCCCGGGGCGGGGGCCCCGCGGGCCCCGGGTTCCGATACATGTCCAAGGGACCGTAGGACATGACTGGAGGCTGACACCGGCTCGCTCCGTCCTGCGCTCCGACCGGAAGCAGCTGCCCGACGGGATGGACGCGCTGACGGAGAAACCGGGAAGAGAAAGGGCGTGGAGGGGGCGGACGCTGCGTGCGCAGAAACCCCGCCTCTCACGCGCTGGGACGCCTCCGCCCCGCCCCGCAGTGCGCAGGCGCCGCGAGAGCCGACTCTTGGGACGCGTAGAGAGTTGACACACAGCCAATTGGAAATGTGGGACTGGGCGGGGTCGTGACGTCACATTGTTGGGACACAGCTTGAGTACTCAGATGACGGTAGTATCTCACACGGACAGCGACGGCCGGCAGGAATTTGCGCTTTGCATAAAATCGTAGCAGATGATCTCAACTGACATCCTATTATGTTCTATTCTGAGGTTAAGTGCCACGTTGGATTTGACTCATCGCAGCCCTGTAATAGAAGGAAGCATCGCCTTGTCTTGCGCCATCCTCACAATTGTTGTGTTTGAGTCCCTTGTTGCAGCCCCTGTGGCAATCCACCTCCTCGTCGAGAGTCATCCTCGTTACCTCTGCCTTGCTGCTTTACCAAGATTGATGTTTCTTTTTCCCAAGGAACAGGTCTCTCCTGCTAGGGAATCCAAAATACATGAGTCGAAGTCTTGCCACACTGCCTTCTAACCTGTACTCTCAAAACAGATTTGTGTGTTCTTCTGGCAGGCCACAGTAGTTTCAGATACAGTAGTTTCTGTATCAATACCGTAATTCAGACGCACCAATTTTTTAGTCTTCCTTATTCATTGTCCAACTTTCACATGTACGTGAGGCAATTGAAAATACTATTACTCGGGTCAGGTGCACTTCAGTCCTCAAAGTGACATTCTTGCTCTTCAACACTTTAACAAAGTCAGTCCTGTGCAGCAGATTTGCCCAATGTAATATGTACGTCGTTTAATTTCTTGGTTGCTTTTCCATGAGCATGGAGCGTGGATACAAGTGAAATTAAATCTTAAACAACTTCAATCTCGTCACTGTTTATCATGATATAAATTGTGAGGATTTAGGCAATCCATACAGAAAGCTGCTGTCTGGTCTTCATCCACAAGTGCTTCAAGTCCTCATCTTTTCAGCAAGCAAGGTTATGTACCCTACATATGGCAAGTTGTAAGCAGAATTGTTAATAAGCCTTGATCCAATCTTGATAGTTAGTTCGTCTTCTTATAGTTCTGAGGTCTCAGCCTAAATGAGGGAAAATTCAATCATCTTTGGTAGTATTTGAGGAGCACTTTAACTGTTTACATACCACTTTAATTTCTCCATCTTCTAAACAATGAAATAATAAAA